AAAAAAAAAAAAAAAAAAAAAAATTTAAAGCCAGTTTGTAATAACTCTCTATTGTTTAAAGTGTTCTGAGTACTTGGAAATTTTACTTCCTGCACTGACATAAAAAAATCTTACAGCATGGCATTGATGGCTGAAAAATTCCCGTGTCACTCTTACCATGCTGAATACCTTACTGATCTAATTCATATACCCTTCATGCTCTTACCCTAGTCTGTTAGTTTGAGGCCAGCTAAACTTAATTTTCTAGAGAAATCCTCATGCTCCTCCACCTTCATATTTTTTTGTATGCCGAGAAATTATATCTTTATCTAGTGCGTTAGTAGTAGTACTAATAAAGTATTAGTACTTTAAAGTAGTGCTTTGTTAAAGTATCTAGTACTTTATTAATAGTTCTTGTTTTAATTAGCATATTGTAAGTGAGCCGATAGGCATATCAATATTCTTTGTTATACTAGATTACAGCGTCCTCATGTCTACCTGCCTGTACACCTGTATGGACAACTGGTACACCACAAAACAGGCTGTCATTTGTTGGAAGTACAGGTAAAAACATAATTTAATCATTTGAAATAGCTACAGTGGTAGGAAACAATCTTAATATTGCTGAAGTAGTATCTTTGCAAAAACTTCTCAAAAGCCTTAAAGTTAGTGGCATAATTGCTTTAAAAGCCATCTGTCTTATAACTGATGTAGGCATTCTGTGTTTGTAATCCTTAGACATATTACTGCCTTGCATGCCTTTCCTTTCCCGGAGGTAGGTGTTACCTTTTGCATAGCAAATTGGTTACATAGAGTAAGTAACCCACTGAAAGTCTGAGTTTCGTCCTTTACAGTTGGGGAAGTTTCTCTCTTCAGCAAAAACATACTGAAAAAGTGAATTTTGTCATTCTTGTTGGGAAGTTAAACTGAACCTGATACAGATTTAGTTATCTTTGGTGAGCAGCAGACTGGAAGTATCAGTTCCTGTCTGTACTTCCCTGTTCCCCTGTACTTCATGAAATGTAACCGGATTAGTCAAGCAGTTATTCTTTCATGCTTAGCGCACCAAATTTATGGCTGTGAATATGTCTTGCTACTAGGTGTTTTCAATAAATGTAACCTTTTACTTATTTTAGAAATAGATCTATAAGTATTTGCCTGTGTGTCTTCTGAACAATAGTAATCTAGCAGTTTATGTTCATTTTCGTATTTGTGTTCATCTCAGGAGCAAAAGTTTTGCATAAATATACTCTGTAGTGTCCTATTTTTATATTATGTCTATGAAGACTTCTGGGGCACATATCTTTATATTAGTGTTTTTAATTCACGAATATTATTTTCTATTTTAAAAAATGATAATTATGGCTAACATTTTTATAATACTAGATACCAAATACGTTGTTAAGCACTTTATATGTGATAATTAAGTCATTAAGCCTTATGAGACAGATCTCTATTTTAGAGATTAGGAAATAAGGCATTGGGAGATTAGATAACTTGCTCAAAGCCACATAGCTATTAAGTGCTAACTCTAGAATATGAACTCAGAGCTCCTGTACTAATGCTGCTTAAGAAATTTTGCATAAAATTATTTTAGAATTTTAAATATACAAAAGTTACTAAATGCAAACCTTAAATGATAGGTTTTAAGTGCAGTAAGAAAATACATTAAAAACATATTGTTACTCCTATGTTTTTTTCTTTCTTTCTCCAGAATATTATTACTGAACTCTGTCATAATGTTCGTACACCAGATTTGGATAAGTGGGAAGAAATTAAAAAACTGAAAGCATCTCTTTGGGCCTTGGTTTGTAATAAACACTTCTATAAGATCTTCATCATTTTAAGATATTTCTAATTTTCCCATTAATAATAATAAAAAAAATCATTTGATTTGGAACTTGTTCTGAGATTAATGTTCTAAGACCCAGATTGTTTCTGCCCATTTTAAATATTTTTAGGCTGGAAGATAGATGATTAAACTATTAGTTTTCTTGCTGAGACAAATGGAACACTGATTTCTGAAGTTCCTTATTTGAGGTTTTTTTTCACATTTTTTCTCCAAGATGGGGTTAATTTTTTGTTTTTAGTAGCTTTCCAAATTTCTTGAAAGAGTTACTCTTCTAAATCGATTTGATATAAGTGACTTCTTTTCTTTCAGGGAAATATTGGCTCATCAAATTGGGGTCTCAATTTGCTACAGGAAGAAAATGTGATTCCAGATATACTAAAACTTGCAAAGCAGTGTGAGGTTCTTTCAGTCAGAGGGTATGTTATTTCACTCATAAATCTTTCTATTGTATATATATGTTATTGTTAACAAATGGCTGTGAGGGAAGACTATTTTATGATTTAGTCCATTAGAACTGTTAATTTACTGAAAGTCTTAATGATATAAGGTAAAAACAAAAAAAGTGTGGGGGAGGCACCTGGCTGGCTCAGTCAGTAGAGCATGTGACTTTTGGTCTCAGGGTGATGAGTTTGAGCCCCACATCGGGAGTAGAGTTTACTTTAAAACAAAAAAAAGATTTTGGGGTGCCTGGGCGGCTCAGTTAAGCGTCTTACTTTGGCTCAGGTCATGATCTCGTGGTTCATGAGTTTGAGCCCCACGTCAGGCTCACTCCACACCCCACCCCACCCCACCTCTTCCCTATGTGCACTCTCTTTCAAAATAAATAAATAAACTTTAAAAAATTTTTTAAACAAAAAAAGATTTTTAAATGCACTAACTTAAACATCTTAAGGAGCTCCTCCTTGCTTAATGTTATAATTCCATTTTTATTATTATAATGTTGAAGTTTAGTAACTGGCAAATAAACAGTGACAGTGTAGCATATATTCAAATATTGCAGTAGTTCAATAGCCCAAATGTTCTAGATTGATCCCAGAAAAGCTAGAATATGTCATTTTTTCCTAAGATTACATTACGTTCTTTCAAATTACTTCACTGAAATTACGATCTATATTAAAAAGGTTTTAGGGGGCTCCTGGGTGGCTTAGTCGGTTGAGCGTCTGACTTCGGCTCAGGTCATGATCTCACGGTTGGTGGGTTCTAGTCCCATGTCAGGCTCTGTGCTGACAGCTTAGAGCCTGGAGGCTGCTTATGATTGTGTGTCTCCCTCTCTCTCTGCTCCTCCCCCGCTTATGCTCACACTCTCTCTGTCTCTCTCTCAAAAATAAATAAACATTAAAAAAGAAAGGTTTTCATGTCATTTACTGCTTCTAAGTTACTCCTAACTCATCTAAATACATTTTTTCCACAATTTTTAATGACTTTAAAAAAAATTCAAATGTACATATAGCAAACTAATATTTTTTGGTTGCTTTAAGAAATCTCAGTTTGGAAATCTAAACAGTTCATTACTACATCTTTTACATACAGGACCTGTGTATATGTGCTTGGCCTCATAGCCAAAACCAAACAAGGCTGTGATATTCTGAAGTGTCACAACTGGGATTCTGTAAGGCACAGTCGCAAACATCTGTGGCCAGTGGTTCCAGATGATGTAGAACAACTCTGTAATGAACTCTCATCTATCCCGAGCACTCTGAGTTTGAACTCTGAGTCAACCAGCTCTAGACATAATAGTGAAAGCGAATCTGCACCATCAAGTGAGTATTGTTGACAAGCTTACATGAAGGTAGCTAAAATTAACATTTGCATCTGTAATGTCACAATTTAAATATATTTGTTATATTCCTAATTTACTTTTTTCTAAGATAATTTGGCACTAATGGGGTCTTGGAGAATATATTCTCTTCTCACAACAGAGAGGATAGCCACCAGCCTACATTGTTCTCTCTCTTTGCCTTCTAAATAGCTTTTGGAAAATCCTACTTACAAAGTTAAAGAAATAAGCTGTGTGCCAGAAGAATCATTCTCGTTTTTGCTTATTCTAAAATGTAACAAGTAAATTATTTATTCACTTACCTTCTTTGTTTACATGCTTTGTTCACTCATTTTTCAGATATAGAGATTATTGAACAAGCATGTATCTGTTAAGAGATATTATATTCACATGTTCATTTTTGAGAGAGGAGGTATATTTTAAACTAAATAGTGAAATTATTAAAAGATAGAGTGTCAAAATCAAAGAAAAAACGGTATGTGGTTTTAATCCCTGTGCTAAATGCTGTTAGGCATACAAAATTTAAGACGTTCTTTTTAAGAAAATACTGCAACATTTGTCAAACCACGGTTCACCAGGTCTAAGAGTCTATGAATTATAAGATGCACCAGTATTTTAGTATACCACTAAAAAAAAAAAAGAAAAAAAAATGCTGCTATTAAGCTAGGACATACCACTGATTGCAAGATGCAGTCTGATTTTAGAGGTATTAAGTGTGAAAAATGTGCATCTTAGAATCAACAAAATATGGAAATATAATATGCAAATTTATTTAGGGTTTCTTTTTGCTTTCTTTCAAAATATATTTGAAGTAGTTTATAATTACTCAACAAAAAGTTAAAAATAAAAATAGGATAAAATGTCATAGATGTCATTAGACACCCAGATTGAGTCTTTTACTAGAATTAGACACTGAATTTAGATGAGTCCCTTAGTGCCTAAAAGAAAACAATAAACCTGATTTGTTTAAACATGAATTTAAAATGCTGTGACTTAGGGTTGCCTGGGTGGCTCAGTCAGATTAAGTGTCCGATTTCAGCTCAGGTCATGCGTGATCTCACGGTTTGTGGGTTTAAGCCCCTGGTCAGGCTCTGTGCTGACAGCTCAGAGCCTGGAGCCTGCTCCGGATTCTGTGTCTCCCTCTCTCTCTGCCCTTCCCCTGCTCATGCTCTGTCTCTCAAAAATAAAGAAACATTAAAAAAAAAATTTTTTTTTAAATACTGTGACTTAAATAAAAAAATAAAATGCTGTGACTTGGTTCCTTGGAAGTATATTTTAAGACTAGGAATTCATTTCTATTGTAATTTGAAGAATAAACTAACAGGAATCTATACCAACTGAGTGAACGTCCACGGTCAAATCTTTTTTATTTTTTAATGTTTATTTATTTTGAGAGAGAGAGAGCACGTGCGCGCAAGCAGGGAAGGGCAGAGAGAGAGGAAGAGAGAGAATCCCAAGCAGGCTCTGTGCTGTCAGTGCAGAGCCCGACATGGGGCTCCATCCCACAAACTGTGAGATCATGACCTGAGCCAAACTCAAACGCTTAACCGACTGAGCCACCCAGGGGTCCCTCCTTCTTTTCTCCTAATTTTATCCTGAATATTTGGAGATTTAAGAAATTCACTGCCATTAAAACAAACAATCAGGAGTAACTGGGTGGCTCAGTAGGTTAAATGTCTGACTCTTTAGGCTCAGGTCATGATCTCATAGGTTCATGAGATTGAGCCCTGTGTTGGGCTCTGCACAGTCAGCTCAGCCTGCTTGGGGTTGTCTCTCCCTGTCTCTCTGCCCCTCCAGTGCTTGTGTGTGCATGCATGTGCACACTGTCTCTCTCTTTTTCCCCCTCTCCCCCTCTCTGTCTCTCAAGATAAATAAATAAACATTAAAAAAATAAACAGCCAAACAAGAACACACTCCATGTAAACTGTGCCATAATGAATCCTGTAATTTTTCTTTGGAAATAACCGAAGATCCTCATAATGACATAATTTCACATCTCACTCAAGTTCAGACACTTGGTCTCAAGAAGTTCTTATGTGGCTTCTCAGCAGTTTAACCCTTTATTTTTGACATTTTTTCCCCAGATGACTGTTAAACAAAAAATTCTGGAAATACATCACTAACAGCTGCTATGATTTTGTTTGTTGTTTTTTCTGTGCTTTTATTAACAATCCTTTGATCATAGGTATGTTCATAATGGAGGATGACCGGTTTGGCAGCAGCTCTACTAGTACATTTTTTCTTGACATCAGTGAAGACACAGAGCCAGCATTTTATGATCGGCCTGGACCTATAAAGGATAAAAATTCCTTCCCTTTCTTTGCTTCTAGTAAACTTGTGAAGAATCGTATCTTAAATTCGCTTACTTTGCCTAATAAAAAACATCGTAGTAGCAGTGATCCAAAAGGAGGGAAACTGTCATCTGAAAATAAGACAAACAACAGGCGGATCAGAACACTTACGGAGCCCAGTGTCGACTTTAACCATAGTGATGATTTCACACCCATGTCCACAGTACAGAAAACATTACAATTAGAAACTTCATTCGTTGGGAATAAGCACATTGAAGACGCTGGTAGTACTCCAAGCATTGGAGAGAATGACTTAAAATTCACCAAGAGTCTTGGTACAGAGAATCACAGAGAAAACACAAGCCGAGAGAGATTAGTTGTAGAAAGTTCAACAAGCTCACATATGAAGATACGTAGCCAAAGTTTTAATACAGACACTACAACAAGTGGAATAAGTTCAATGAGCTCCAGTCCTTCACGAGAGACCGTAGGTGTGGATGCTACGACTGTGGACACAGACTGTGGAAGTATGAGTACTGTGGTAAGTACTAGAACTGTTAAGACAAGCCACTATCTGACGCCACAGTCTAACCATCTATCTCTCTCCAAATCAAACTCAGTGTCCCTGGTGCCTCCAGGTTCTTCTCATACGCTTCCTAGAAGAGCACAGTCCCTTAAAGCACCCTCTATTGCTACAATTAAAAGTCTAGCAGATTGTAACTTTAGTTACACAAGTTCTAGAGACGCCTTTGGCTACGCTACACTGAAAAGATTACAGCAGCAAAGAATGCATCCATCCTTATCTCACTCTGAAGCTTTGGCATCTCCAGCAAAAGATGTGCTGTTTACTGATACCATCACCATGAAGGCCAACAGCTTTGAATCCAGGTTAACACCAAGCAGGTGAGCAGATACGCACTTAAAAATGAACAATAACGGTTGCATTTTAACAGGCTTAAATGGAAAGCATTAGGCAGGTTTTACATCTACATCAGCCTCAGAACCGACCTATTAGAATTGTTTACTATGGTAGGCTGTAAGCTCCTAGTTACCCGATATGATTTGAAATGGATTCTTGCAGCTGCGAGGGGGGAAAAGAAATTCTATTAGGCCCTGAAAATAAACATACATGCTTTTCAAGGACACACAAGTCACAAGCTTTTTTTTATTTCTCGCTTCTGCAAGGATCGATTTTAAAAAGAAGCATGTCGGGGGAATCAGGAGCTTAAGACCTACAATAACAAACAACCTTTTCAGGTAGGTCAATTTAAGGCTCCAAAAGTTTTTTTAAGTTTTTTTAAGTAACGACAGATTTCAGTGAAATTCTTTTCATTTTGTCTTAAGTAGCTGTGATTATTTGGTAGGAACCTAATGAACATTAAATGAATTTCTTGGCTCTGAGGATTCAGCAGTAGTAGTTTGCCTACACTCAAGAACATGTAGGGAGTTTCTGTGCCATATCTAAAGATTAGATCAAGTTGATCAAAATAAACAGCTTTGATTTTACCTTTAAAAGATAGGCAATGTTAAATTTGACTGTTGGCAAAGATTTTTGTACCCATTCTTTGTTGTTGTTGGGCCAGTTACTTCTAAAAACTTTCTTAGTTTTTGGTTACTAATTTACATTCATTTAAATGGATTAGTATTTGTCAAGTGCTGAGAATAGTGCCTGACACCTATCATCATCATCATCATCATGGGTAGTTACTTCCTTACATAACCCATTTGGCTCTTATACAGCCAAATTCTTCAGAACATTAAGATATTATTAAGCAGTTTTGTTTCAGTGATGCTAATGCATTAGTAGAAGGGGTTCCTTTGCAGCGGTAATAAATTGTATTTCATTTGATAGAATTTTATAAATTATGCAGTAATGTCTCCTCTACCAGGAACTCACCTGGCTTTGGCAACCTCATCAGTCAGAACAAACACAGGAAAATCTCTTTTTTTTTTTTTTTTTTTAAATTTTTTTTTTTTTTTCAACGTTTATTTATTTATTTTTGGGACAGAGAGAGACAGAGCATGAACGGGGGAGGGGCAGAGAGAGGGAGACACAGAATCGGAAACAGGCTCCAGGCTCTGAGCCATCAGCCCAGAGCCCGACGCGGGGCTCGAACCCACGGACCGCGAGATCGTGACCTGGCTGAAGTCGGACGCTTAACCGACTGCGCCACCCAGGCGCCCCAGGAAAATCTCTTAATAGCTTACTAGTCTAAATCTATGCAGTGAGGTTCATGAATTTTATTCAAAAGAGATAAGGTACCTCTGACCCAAATTCAGAGTGTGTTGATACTTATTCTAACAAGCAGGGATATCAGGTTTTCAGGCCTATGGAAGCAAAAATGCAAAGCTTCTGACTGGTGGAACACTCTTAACAGGAAAAGACAACTGATAAAATTGATAGCAAAGGAGGAGACTTTTATATTACAATAACGTATTTGAAAACTCAAAGACCAGCACAGCAAGCAGGGGCAGTAAACATAGCACAACAAAGTAAGCAGTAAGAGTTGCACCATCTCACAACTCAGTGCAGTAACCGAAGCGCCATTAACTCTGAAGCATCCTGTTCATTATGTGTCATTGAAGCAGGCATTTCTATCCAAATTGTTGAAAGCACAGATTAGAAAGTTGTACTGCTTAAATATTCATAAGAATAGACCAGAAAAAGACAGCTACCCCAGATCATTTATTTCCTAACCAGTCTGGATTCTTAGAATCTTATTTCCTGTATTCTCTATTAGACCAGGAGAAGGTGGTTTGGGAATTTTACTCCTGGAGTAAAATGTCAGGTTATTGGTGTTATAAAGGATGAATAGGTGTTTTAATTTCTTGGGAGGGAAATAAATAAAAACAAAAAAACAGGAGAGTCAGGAACAGCTTGTACGAAGGCATGACAGCATAACGAAACTTCATGTTCATCAAATCTTTCATTTGTTCTTCAAATTGTATTGAGTACTTGCTGTGTACCAGGTTCCATGGGTGTAAAATTGTGTTCCTACCCCTTTCCTTTATTGAGTTCGTTCAGAGAAAATGAAAATGATGGAAGATAACTACAAGTTTACTTTAAAATAACAGTTTGGAAGCCAGGCTGAGAAAGATTATTATTCTTTGTTTTTTGTTTTTTGTTTTTTTTCTCATAAAATTAAAAAAGTAGGCTTGTAGATACCTGTGATATAATGGATGGCACGAATCCAACAGTCTTAAAAAATCATGTCTCACTGAGATGTCTCCTTGGGATATGATACAACACTCGATTAGGAATCCTTAATCCTAAATTCTAATCCTGGCACTGAGTGAATGAACTTGAACAAGGAACAAGGTTTCATAAATTATGCTATAATGTCTCATCTGCCTGGAATTCAGCAGCTTTGCAAACTTCCTCAATCCAGAACGAAACCAGGCAGACTTCAGTTGCTCACTGTTGTGAATCTGTGTAGTAAAGTTCATGAATTTTGGAATATCTAGGCCTCAGTTGCCTTATCTAATGGAATTTGGACTAGATCAGTGGCTTTAAGCTTTTCAAATGTTGCGTTTTAGGTAGAGAAACTCTTTCTTCACAAAAACATTTCTATGGAAACCCAATATGGATAATAGATTAAAATGGATCTACTTAGTTGAGATAGGGATTGGGAGGGCAAGTGATCCAATAATTCCTTGCTTTATCTGCAGTACTCCTTTAAGAGTTTTGTGGAGCAAGAGAGGTTTAACAGAATACAATTTAAAAACCGCTGACCTATGTTATGAAATTTGTCATTTTCAACTGTGAGTGGTTTTTAAGCGGACATTAGAAATTAGTGGTTTTTATTATGATAATCTTAATAGCTACTATTTATGAAGGATTTATTTTGTATGCATTATAAAATAATTTTTCTAAATATCAGGTTACATTATTAAATTTTAAATGACTTGGGTTTCCGAATGCCAGTGTACATTAACTATGGAGCCTTGTGTAGTGCCTTGTATAAACAAAGCAGGCACCTACTAAATATTTTAGCATGGATGTTGCATGAATAAGAAATCTGTATGAGAAAGATATATCTTAGGGAAATATCAGCATACCATATTTATTATGGCATCACTAGTAAGGCGTGCTTTGAGGAAATACCAGTGCTTCACATAAGACTATCTTGTAATATTTACAGATGATAACATTATTGCTGTTTTGTGTCTGTCTTCTGTGTTACATAAATCTTGTTGCCACACAATAAGTGTTTATTCTTATTTTTCATAAAAATAATGTTAAATGGAGTTAATAGACATGCCCTTAGTTAACTTATAGCAAAGTTTGTAGTTTGAAAGGATCGTGAAGATAATCCTTGGATCATACCTGTGACTTCTAAGATTTGTTTTGTTTTGTTTTGTTTTGCTTCTAGATATTGAAAGTTCTAATTGCCCACCTTGACACTTTTACCTGGGAGGCCATAGCAGTTGTTTTTCCTAACAGTCTCATTACTGATGATCTTTTGTATGTCATTTTGTAACAGCTAAATAATTTCAAGTGTTCTCATGCTCTTAATAAATGATGGCACTGTTGAGTACTTGACTAGCTACTTATCTTTTATGAAGTTACAAAAATAAATTATAATTTCATATAAATTATATATGATTAATATTACAAATCAAGAAACTAATGCAAGTGGATTTTTTTTTTATGGTTTTGTAGGTTCATGAAAGCTTTAAGTTATGCGTCATTAGATAAAGAAGACTTACTGAGTCCTATTAATCAAAATACCCTGCAGCGATCCTCGTCAGTGAGATCCATGGTGTCCAGTGCAACATATGGTAGTTCAGATGACTATATTGGTCTTGCTCTTCCAGTAGACATCAATGACATATTCCAGGTATCATAAGTCGTCTTGTTTTCTTACTAGTTGGTTTCCTATTATTTCATATTCTATGACTCCTTGCTAGAAATTGTATCTTCGAGCAAATACTGTTTTAGGGGAAGATCATTTTTTAAGGCAGTTTTGTTTAAAGACGTTTCATGATGGAAACTGTTTCACCTTTCTCTACTATTCTGTACTTTTTAATTTAGTATTTCCAAGTCCCGGAACATGATCCTTCCTTCTCTTCCCAAACCAAATCAGCATCTTGTTTTATTTCTTTATCAGTATATTCTCTATAGAAGTTTAGTGAAACTTTAACTGCTTTTTAGTCACATTTGACTTACTCTTGTGTGTTTTTTCACATGTAACATTGTGGACGTTTCACAGTACATTCCTAGGTTTTTTTAAACCTGTGTATCCTGTATAAGGCGGCCACATGTGCCCAGTATATAAGGTGGCCCTGATCCCAGCAGATACTCACAAACATCTCCATGGTAGATGGTACTGAAGAAGACGCATTTGCTCAGGAGTCTAAAGACATTTTAGATAAATTCTAAAATAATCATTCAATATTTATTGAAATTACCAAGAATAAATAAGGACTTTAAGGATTTTATTTTGTCAGATGTTGGTAATTTAAGCCTCTTTAGTGAACTGTTTGTGGTAGGTTCATGTGCTATAGTAATTCTATTTAAATTGCATTTAATTTACTTTTGCTACTATTCATAAAGTGAACTTCTTCATAATTTATCTATTTTAGGTAAAGGATATTCCCTATTTTCAGACAAAAAACATACCTCCTCATGATGATCGAGGTGCCAGGGTGTTTGCCCATGATGCAGGAGGTAATGCTTGTTTTAAGTTCTTTTGAGACTCCTCTTTATATTAAAAAGAAAATTGTTTTTAAAACAAAATTGATCTAAAGAAAAATATTTTTAGTAGGATGACATTAAAAATTCAGATATACTTACTTTTGGGTCAGCTTAAATATTATACCAAAATAATTGCGTTAATTTAAAATTAAACCACAGTATGTTTTTATTTTTATGAGGGACTTAAAGTGTTCTTCCAACTAAGCCTCTCAAGAAGACAAAAACTGGATCAGTTGATTTAAAAATTATGCGTGAAAAACTTGAAACACTAATTCTTTCAAAAGGTCTAAAAAACGGGTTTGGGGAAAAGAGATGAAAATATATTTTACGTGATCTCTGTTTGTTATGAACTGTAAGATTTTAACGAATATATGCATATCAGCCACAGATTAAAGCTTCATAATCTTGATTCTTTTTAAACAACTACCTCTTTAGACTTAGAATTATTACATTTCTTTATGGAAATACTGAGAATAATTGAAATGATGCCTTAATTGTATAATTTTAATTTTCCATCTTCTATTTAAAATTTCATATTAAACTAATATATAAGCATATCTCCTAATTTTAATTTCCTAATTTAAAGCAAATTAGATTTTGAGTCATAGAAAGACTTTGGATTTTCTTCCCTAGTTTTTCTTCTTCAAAAATTCACATAGTTTGAGGTACCTTGAAAGAGATGTCATTGATTTTACCAGATTCTGTTTCATGTTTACTTATGCACAGGTCTTCCATCTGGAACTGGAGGTCTTGTAAAAAACTCTTTTCACTTGCTACGACAACAGATGAGTCTTACAGAAATAATGAATTCGATCCATTCAGATGCTTCTCTGTTTTTAGAAAGTACAGAAGACACTGGATTACAGGAACATACAGATGATAACTGCCTTTATTGTGTCTGTATCGAAATTCTGGGTTTCCAGCCCAGTAACCAACTAAGCGCAATATGTAGTCATTCAGGTGAGTGATTATAAGCTTTTCCACGTCATCTGAGTCTGCTCCAGTCACAAGTCATGTCCCAGCTCTGATGACCATCCCTCTTACTCCATTCTTACTACCCTAGCCTTAGTTCAGTCACTCATCATTTCCTATTGGAGTGTTAGTGTCTCTGTCTCCAGTTTTGGCCCCTTCCAATTCATCTTTCATACTGTTTTCTGGGATTAGTCTGTTGACAGTTCTTTAACTGGCTATTCATGCCCAACACATAAGACTCTTTGTGTGATCTGTGTGTTGTCCTTTATTGTTGTGTTTTTTTTTTAATGTTTATTTATTTTGGAAAGAGAGAGCCAAGTGGGGGAGAGGCAGACAGAGAGGAAGACAGAATCCCAAGCGGGCTTCACACTGTCAGCACAGAGCCTGACATGGGGCTCGAACCCAAGAACTGCAAGATCATGACCTGAGCCGAAATCAAGAGTCTGAGGCTTAACCATCTGAGCCTCCCACACACCCCCTTTTTTTCTCTAATGTTAGTAAAACACAGTGTTGTATTAGTTTCAAGTGTACAATATAACTATTCAACAATTCTGGTTTTCTTTCAATATTTTTAAATTCCAGTATGGTTAATGTACAGTGTTATGTTAGTTTCAGGTGTGCAGTATAGTGATTCAGCAATTCTGTACATTACTCAGTGTTCATCGTGATAGGTGTGCTCTTGATCCTCTGCATCTGTTTCACCCCTGGCCCCACCATCTCTCCTCTGGCAATCACTATTTTGTTTTCTGTGTTTAAGTGTTTTTTTGTCTTTGTTTTTGTTGTTTTTTGAGAGAGAGCTTGTTGCGTAGGGGCAGCGGGAGAGGGAGAGAGAGAATCCCAAGCAGGATCCACGCCCAGTGCAGAGCCTGACATAGGGCTCAATCCCACGACCACGAGATCACGACCTGAGCCTAAATCAAGAGTTGGGCATTCAACTCTTGCTGAGCCACCCAGGCACCCCTAGTCTAAAATGATCAGAGCACTTACATTAGAGTACAGCTGGGCAGAATCATCAACACAAAGTCTGTTGTATAGTAAGGTGTTGAGTACGTCATGTAATTGATTAAATACTCTGCTGAACGAGAAACAGAATGGCTTTGTGGGAACAGGACGGTTGTAGTGTATTAGCTGTTTACTCTCATGATCACATGGCTGACAGAGCTGTGGCTCGCTGTCACTGTCCAGCATCACGAGAGAGGATCATACCGCAGATCGCTAGCCCAGGGAAAGATCTAAATTCCAAATTTAAAGCAGTTTCTACTGAATGTGTATCATTTTTGCACCATCATAAAGTCGACCTGTCATCAGTTGAGGACCATCTGTATTAGCAATTTCAAATTAATATGTGTTTATATGAGCGTTTAAAGTGTTCCCATAGATATCCTTTCTTGGTGAATATCATTTAGCCACACTCAAGAAAAACCTGGTCATAACTAAAGTTCTCTGAGTTACTCTAATTTCTCCTTGATAGTCTGATTCAGAGCTTTCCAACTGATGGGTTGCAGCATGCTGATGCACCATAAATAAGATATGGGTATGCTAAGTTAATTAATTCCCTTAATGTTTCCATGCCCCCTAGGGCCTGGGTTTGGACAAACCCTTGGCCTAGGCACTTTCCACTGTGAACAGCGCCGTCCAGGGCCCTAGTGTGCTGTAATTATTCTCATTTCCTGTGAGTGAGAGGTTTGGGCAATATTGTTCTGATGTATTATACACGGTAGAAAATAATGTGATTTTAAATCATTTGGCTCTACATCGTTTATGATATTTTAGTTTCTGCAAGTTCTGCTTCATTTGATATACTTATTCATCAAACACTTACGAACAGTTACGATGGATTTTACTATACTGTTTTCTACTTAATTTTATCAAACAAGAAATAGGGAAACCAGCCCTCCAATTACCTAGTCAGAAGACAGTCACAGTTAATTCTAATCCATTTGTGACCTGTAGCTGGGAGAGTGATCGGCAGAGAGCATCATGGGGTTTGGGACTTGTGAAACACTTGCTGGAAGCAGAAAGGTACTCACCTTGGCATAGCTGTCAGAGCCTCTCGGCTGGTGCGCCAGTGACGTGAAGTGTTTCTAAGGAACAGCAGGGGAAAAATCTGAACTGGGAAATGATTGCAGTTTGTTACTGATACCCATCTCAGAAGCATGAAGGGAGGAAGGCCAAATGGTTAAAAAGTCACCGAACTTTTATTCATTCATGCCCTCGACATAATATTTATTATGCCACTACCGTGGGCCAGACATTAAACTAGATGCCAGGAAAACTTTTGTGAGGGAAGGAAAACAAAAAATAACACACTGTTCTTACACTCTCTGAGCTTCAGTTCAGTGGGGGAAAGAAATGGATGAATGGATTGACTGATCAGTCACTTGATCAATTGATTATGTAAATACAATACTGCATTTGTAATAAGTGTCATCAAGGGTAGGTACATGGTATTAGCAAAGGAATACAACCAAGTAGAATACAACCAAGTCAAAGAGGAGACTTCTGAAGAAGTCATTATTGAGCTGTGGTCTAAAAAATGAATAGAAGCTAACAAAGTAAAGACTGGCATATAGAGAATTTGAAGAGAGAGTGAACAGCCAGAGCAAAGGTCTTCTCTTATGAGAGTGTACGCGGGAAGTAGGAGGGACTGAAAAGACACCTGTGTGAATAGAGCTCAGAAAGCAAGACGGAAGAGGATGTATGACCTAGAGAGATAGGCAGAGACCTGGCCCTGCAGATCTCTTGCTACCCAGAGTATGGTCAGAGGACCAGCAGCATCAGCATCACCTATGAGTTTGTCAGAAATGCAGAATCTCACACTCCACACATAGAATCAGAATCTGCACTTTCACGAGATTCCCAGGTTGTTCATGTGCACAGCACAGTTTCAGAAGCATTCCTGTAGGCCACCTGGAAGATTTTGTATATCAGAAAGAAGACATCCGTATTGTCCATGGCAGATAACTAAAAACTAATCCCTGTACTATTTAATGACCATTTTATTTTATTTTATTTTATTTTTTTTTTTTAAATTTTTTAACCTTTATTGATTTTTGAGAGAGAGAGAGCATGAATGGGGGAGGTTCAGAAAGAGATGGAGACACAGAATCCAAAACAGGCTCCAGGCTCTGAGCTGTCAGCACAGAGCCCGATGTGGGGCTCAAACTCACGGACTGTGAGATCATGACCTGAGCCGAAGTCGGACACTCAACCAACTGAGCCACCCAGGCGCCCCTTAATGACCATTTTAAAGGAACATCAAGACTAGAGCTCATTTCATTCTTTAGAACATCTGGTCTGGCAGTTGTTCAAACATGTAAAGCTCAAAGGAAAGGCTGTTGGAAGAGGGTATTTGCTAACATCCTGTTCTGCTTCTGCCACCTTCACAGATGTTCGTGCAATTATATAGTTCTAGTGTACTTAGAAGAATGAGTTGTTTTTTTTTTTTTTTTTTAAATGAGAACGGATGACATGTTAAGAGATAGGATGTGATTCTAACAGGTTAGACATGTTAGGAGTCATCATCGCTGGCTAAAGGGAAGGCTGAAATATATAAAAGTTTATAAGTTTTCAGAAACATGTCAGTTGAATATAGTTTAAATTTCTTACTGTTCTTGTGCTGGAATATTTTGTCATCATAGTCCCTGGGGAGTTCATCAACTGAGTCTAAAATAACACATTCGTCTCTTACCTGGTTATTCAGCACTACTGCTTTTTTTTTTTTTTTTTT